CGGGCGCGCGCCCGGGGTGTATTTTTCGCAGCAGGAGGACGTGCAGAAGGCCCCCTCCCCTCTTTGCAAGCCGATCCTCCCCCCCCACCGGTGTCGGCGGCCGGCCCACGCAGGAGAGACCCACTCACCTCCCTCCCCCGGGCGGCGCTGGAGGAGCCCCCAAGCGCGATCGGGGCACGCGGGAGACGGCGCCAACGCAGAATTTCTCCCCCTCCTCCTCCTGGCCCGGCGGCTCCGCCTCCTCTTCCCAATGGCAAGTAGGAGGGAGGGGGGAAAAAAAGTTTACGGTTCACGTCGAGCCGGCGCGGCGGGTTGTGAGGCGGGAGGGGGAGCGAATCTCGCTCGAGCCCTGCGTTTTTCAGCCTTATTTTGATTTTCTTCCGTATTTTTGTTCAGCGGCAACGAAGTATAAACGCAACACAGAAGTAGCCTCTTCACAAGCGGCCTGCGTGCGGCGCTTATTTACGCAGCGGTTGCATTGCCCGCTCCCCAACCAGACCTCCTCCGCAGGTGTGGAGTTCCAGGTCCCATAATCCACCAGCCCATGAGTTGGGGGGATGGGTATCCAATCCTGGGGAGAGCTGGGGGGATTATGGGAGCTGGGGTGGAGTCTTCTAGAGGGCAATTGTGGGAGAGACCCTTAACTGGGTCCGTATGGTTAATTTCCAATAAATTAAATTGCATTTATTGAATCCAGTACATGCTCTTTATTTTCCTTCCCACACTTTCTCCCAGAAGCATTTGGCAGCCAGGAACTGCCTCCTGAACAAACTGGCATAACAAGCTGGGTCCACATTTGCCACCGACCAAGCAACCCTACAGCGAGCTGCATTGTGGTTGAATTCAGCCCTGGTGGGCGACAAACCATCATTGAGGGCTGGACGCATAGGATGAACCAGGCTAGCTGCTGTGGCTTAATCCAAGTTCAGAGAAATAGGGCTCCGGGAATCTGCGGACCACAGCGAGGGCAGGGTTTTCAGGCCTACCTTTAAGGAACGTTGTGCCAAATTCTGCGTTCAGGGCCAGGACTCATTCCTCCTCGATTTGAGTGGGGAAAAGGGTTTTCTCGCAGTTCAAAGCGGGCTCTGCATAGCCAGATTGGCTTAACCCTGATTAACTGGACAAGCCACAACGGCCTGGCTCCCCATTGGAGGTTAAGCCCTAAAGCACGGCTTGCTGGCTACGACAGCCAGATTAGCGCGACACCTTCGACCCCCGCTACATCGTGGTTTGTGGGCTACGAACGAACTTCTGTGCCCGGTGCAGAATTTCTCTTTGAGCAGCTGGAGACGTTCGACCTCCAGTGGCGTCTTGCGCGCTGAGCCGGTGGGTCTGAAACTCCCCCCCCAGCCTGCAGGAGACTGTAGTGAACTGCATGGCCAGCCTAGCATGTCCAGAAACACATCCGCTGCAGCAGAGAAATGCTGCAGTTCCAGCAGGATGCTAAAAACGATAGTAAAAATGAATTTAAAATGGCAAGGCTCCCTTGCCCTTCCTCCATCCTTCAGCTTCTGGATGGTTAAGGCAACACACGCACGCTCTGTTCTGCTGGAGCTGGAAATTAATAATAATAATAATTATTATTATTATAATTATTATTATTAATTTCCAGCTCCAGAAATTGAAATAAATTCAGAGCAGGGTGAAGGGTGACCATAATAATAATTATTATTATTAATGATAATGATAATGATGACGATGTCTGCACTGCCGACAATTAACCTGGCGATGGTCACCCTCCACCCTGCTCTGAATTTATTTCAATTTATGACTGGGATTGCGGCAGTAGTCCGCTCGGGGACGTTGGGGTGGAAGGAATGCTGGTGTTTCTCCTCTTACGTCTGTCCGTGGCAAGAATCAGGATTGTCGATTGATTGGGGCTTGGAATATTTGTGGTTCCGACCTTCCTATGGTGTAGTGGTTGGATTTCCTGCGTATTGAATTATTCGATAGCTGTTCCTTTGCTTGTGCTGCCTGATATGCTTGAAACCCTTTGCAGGAGGACGTGCAGGTTGCCCCCTCTGGTTCTTCCTTCGGCTCTTCCTTCAGAACTCTTTTTCCAGGAGGCCTTTGGCGTAACGCGTCCTTCTAAGCGCAGCGTTGCGGCATCACGGAATTTTCTGATGTGCTTCCCGGCCTCAGTTTGCCCCCTGTCCAAAACGTGCCACACAACGCCTTGTGTATTTGCTCTGAAACAACAGCACCGTTCCACCAGCTTGCCTTTCAGCACACTCGACTCTCTACATGGCGGGTCAAGAAATGCTCTTTTTAAGATCGGCCCCCAAGCTCTTCCACCACACGCTTGAGTCTCATAACCTCCGGCTTTTGCCTACAAAAGGAGGAAACACTGCCATGCACGGGGAACATAAGGACTTAAGAACAGAGTCTCTGCCCCAGAGACATTCCAGTTTTAACCAGTGCTCTTGTTAGACAGGCCCAATTGATGGAAATAGGCGTGCTGATTCTTTGCAGCCCTCTGGCTGCAGGATGCTTTGCATTCACCGGAAACAGTTATCCCCCCCCTCTTCCAAAAATAGAGTTTTTAATCTATTTAATGCCTCCCTCCTCCTTTCTTTCATTCCCTTCCAGTCTTCCTCTGCTATCAGTCACTGTAAGGAATTCCTTCCTGGCCCAGCCTCTTAGCAACTTCTTCTCAAGCATCCTTTGGAGGAGCAAGCAGAGTCCCAGGAAGAAGGCAGGTAATTAGGGGGGTTGTACGGAGGGTTGCGGGCATCCAGGTTTCGAGCCAGAAACTTTTCCAGTATGCCGAGTTGGACGCTGCTGGTTAGAACTGGTTTCCCCCTCCCCCAGATTTCTAGCTCCCCTCTAGATAGGGAGATTGTCCCATTTGTTTAAGGCAAGGATTTTCTTTCCCCCCCCCCCCCCCCCCCAAGGTGTGCAATGGCTTTCCCTTTTTCAACACCAACTTTTGCTTTCAAGGGGTTGACCTTCAGGGACGGGCTTTGCGGGGAAGGCGAGGCGGTCGCCCACTTTCCCTTGTGCCTCGATTTTCTGGGTCAGCGAGGAAAACGCCTCGGTGCGTGCACGCCTGGCCGGCTTTGAATGAACCCCCCCCTTCGCAACAGCTTCGGGGAGACGGGGAAGTTGTGGCTCTGTTTTGCTGATTTTCCCCC